AGGCAAATGTATAGCTAAATTAGTTTAGTTTATAATTTTGTATAACATTATTTATATGTTTTCTCTTAATAAATAATGGACAAGATTACTTAAGTGTAAAAAAAAAAAACAAATATTAGTTATAAGTTGCAGAATTGAATTTGCTTCATAGTATCAAAGTTAGAATATTTTAAGTATAATTTAAATTAAATAATATATATATTGCACTATATTAAATTTATTATATTTAAATTTATTTAAAATATTTTAATTCTAGTATTAGTGTAGAAAATTCAATTCTGCAACTTGTAATTAATGTTTAGGTAGTATAGCTATAAAATTATATTATGATATTTAAGATTTATATGTAAATGTTTTAGGTCTCTATAGTATAAATTTATAAATTGTGAATATTTTATTATTAGAATTTACAATCAAGAAAATATTTGATTTTTAATTATATTAACAAAATAAATTTAAAAATGTCTTAAGGTAGTTTTAAAACTATACTATTCTAATATTATTTGCAAATTATAGAATTAGATTTGCTTTTTTAGAATAGAAGTTAGAACATTTTAATGATATGTGATTTTTATAATAAATTACTATTAATCTTTTATAATAAAAATGATCAGTAAAAATTGAAAAATTTTGTGTTATATTATGATAATAAGTTATCTAATATACATAATATAGGTTTTAATATATTAATGTTAATTGTTATATGTTATTTGTATAATTTTATTTTATTATATTCTTTATATTATATTGTTTAATTTTGTGATTAAATTAAATTACTTTTTTTTTTTGAATAGATTAGTTTTGAAGAGATTTAATTATTCTGTTTTTTATGTTATAGAGTTTTTTAAAAGTAATTTAGTAATTTGGTAATTTGGTTTTTAATTTTTTTTAAAAAAATTTATGTGTAATAAAAATAGGGAATTGCTATTTCCACCCCCTATTTTTGCTAATGCCACCTCCCAAAATACATAAAAGTACTTCGGAAGAGATATTCTTACTAAGTAAACTTCTTTTTTGGTATTAATTAAAGTTGTTTGTTAAGTCTTTCTGGTTCTATTGGTAGTAAAATCATTAGGATCGGACCAGTAAATCTTAAAATACTTGTATATAAATTTTATAATCTTCGATTCATTTTTAAAAAAGAACTACTAGTCCGATCTTAATGATTTTACTACTATTAGAACCAGAAGGACCTAATAAACAACTTTAATTAATACCAAAAAGGAGGTTTACTTAGTAATAATATCTCTTCCGGAGTACTTTTATGTATTTTGGGGGGGTGACATTAGCAAAAGTGGGGGGTGGAAATAGCAATTCCCTTTATTTATTACTTTAGGGTTAGGACCTTCGTTAGATTAGGGTTAGGGTGATAGTGAAGAAAGATTTATACCAAAATTTGGCAAGGAATTTTTTTTAATTAGAAGTTTCATTAAAAAATGTAACAATTTGCATTAAATTTCACGTTACACCTGATCTTTTTTTTTGATTAGCTACAACACTCTAGTACTACGGTACTATAGCGCTATAAAAAAGATAAAAAAAGATAACGATAACGGATATCTAAGCCAATCTAAAAGATAAATAAATATAACGATAACGATAAAATAAAATAAAATTTGTGGAAAATTAATTTTGCACATGGCTTCCTCTTATTTGGCGATTACAGGTATTGATACTGTATCTGTATATTAATATGAACGTGTTAAGCAAATGGGCTGAGTGCTACAGAAAAGGGCAGTTTTGTCAAAATTGGTTTTCAACTAAACTTATTCAAAATTAACATAGGAACATTTTTTACTTAAAGAAGAAATACTGTTATCTTAATAAAATTTTGCGTTTTCGAACCCAACCAGTTCAGTTTTTATAATTATTGAAACTCATAATGTTATGAGAACCAATTAATTAATTTCAAATTTTACGGACCACCCCAAAATTCTACCCGAAGTATTGTCGGAATTCATATGGGCGAAAATTTTTGATAGGAATTCGGTGGTTATTAAATTAATGAAATCAACGTATCGGTATTATTTCGATCATAACGATATAATTTTTACGTACTACGTAGTTAAAAGACAAAAAATTAATATTATTAATATGACTTATATAAAACTAAGAAAAGCAATTAACCAATCAAATTCAATATATAATTCAATTTTATTACGTATGCTTTTATATTTTATACTATTTTTAATTCTGGCCAAAATATTAATGTTACACTGAAGGAAAATTTGTAAAAATATCAATTTGCCTACAATTTTTCCGGCGTCTAATGACTATGATATGAAGACAAATAAAACTGTACTATGATTAAAGATAGAAAAGAAACATCAATCATTGTGTCTAATATTAGTTGAACTTTAAGTTATATAGATTATAACCTTTAATAATCTTTATTATTGCTATTTAACTATTTAAAAATTACTAGTAAATAGCTTAAGTAGTAATACGAGCTGACCCTGGCTTATCAGTTAGGTAGACAAGTGGGTCAAGGGTCAACTCATACCTAGCTAGGCTGATAGTATATCTAAATTTTTTTTAGCTAATAAAAATTTATAATAAAAATACGTATTAGTAGATGTAGCATAACTACACCAGGCAATTTGCTTTTCTATAAAATTAATAACGATAAATACAAATTATTTTATTTGGCCCAGTGATGATTTTGAAAATAAAATTAGCGTTATTACCTAATAACATTCATTCAAATCATTTTAATTTAGTGAGTACAATATTCAATAATTTAATAAAATATTTTCTAGTCCAATAAAAATTTACAATATCCAATCAAAATTATTTGAATATCCAATATCATAACATCAATGAGTACGTAATTGACATCAGTGTCGTAATACGTCACAGATGCAATTTACAAAATATATATCCAAAGCTAGATTTTATTCTTCGTGAGATCTGCGTATTACCTAAATTACTAGAAAAACATCCTTCAATTACGATTTATACGCCTCAGGCAAGATAGTTCAAAGTCCGGTAAAGTGGCAATTCAAAAATCAGAAGTTCGGTTTTCTTCCGACAGCGTTCATATTTATAAACTCATAACGGCACACTCATGATTTTATTGTATAGTTATTTATTGGTTAACTACTATATGAGTTTTAATATTATATTCATTCCAATATTCTTCCATTGAAATTCCATTTGAATTAATAAAATATTGGGAAAATCTGAATTATAACGGGATTCCAGATTCCAGTCAACAATGCTGAATACGCATTTTTCGTTGCTCATCCAACTTTTGTGTATAATCCCATAATTCTGGTGTTAGTTCCAATTGACCAAAGCTTAACGTTACCAACCTAAATTTCGTATTCACAATAAATATTAATTGAAATTTTTTCATATGATTAAATAAATTTATTATGTCTTCCTATACCTTGCTAAAGTCATTCGCAGTAACAGGTCAGTTTGAGTTACCAACGGTTGTCCAGTTTTTGAGGCGTTTTTTCGTTGGTTGACGAACTCGTTTTGAATATGCTAATAATTTCCATATAAAATTAACATTATTGTTATATACGAAATAATCTTAATTCCTATCTAAAAATTAAATATACCTCCGAAACACTCTCAGGAATAGAATATTCGGCGCATCGGAGAATACTAAGGTATGTCCTAAATTCTGCTAAGATGTCTTCTTGTACTTCAAACATTATTGTTTCTTCATCATTAGGTTGTAAAGGAATAATACAATCACACTATTTATAAAGATTATGTTAATTTTGAAAATAAAATATTAGTCAAATATGATCTATAGAAGTTCCTAACTGGTAAAAACGATCTAGCATTCGACAATATAATTGCTCCAATATCAGTTTCAAACTCAAAATCGCTAAACGGAAATGCATATTTGAGTTTCTGATTGTCCAGAATTTCATTCAAAGCCTGTAGATTACGAACGCCTTAAAAGCATGTAAATATTAATTAATACTTAAGCAATATTAATAATATCAATAATTATTAAATGTACCAATGTCATCAAGCTTTCCTTCTTCCATAACAGTTTCATCAATCAAAAACCAAGTTCCCTGGCTGACTTGAAGAATCCCAGAATCCAACTTATCGTTATCTCGTGGATAAAAAAAGAGCTCGTTGAGAGTCGAAAGAGTTAGTGGAAGATCATGATATTTTGGCAAAAGTGAAGAAAGAACAGCGGAAACACGTTTGGTAAACATATTCGAGTGAATTAGGCCCAAATTGGAAGATGAAGATAAGTTCCCATTTGTAATAATAGAAGATGATGGCACGTTACTTATATTCAATATAAGCTTGCCAAGGGTTAAACCATTGCGTCGATTATATCTATGTAAAAAAGCCATATATATATATATATATATATTTATTATGCCCATAAAATTCGTTGAAACTAAAATGCCACATGCTTCGAATAACATACATTCTAGATAGAAGTTGTAACAAGACAAATTCTGCGACCAAGTGATCGCCTTTAAACGCGGCAGCAATATATTGGAGTAACGAACTTCGTGTATGAATTGAACGACGTTGTATCTCTTAAAATAAAATGCATTTATCGTAAGCAATTTATATAACAGGTTTATTAATAGTGACGAAATTGAATTACCATAAGGATCCGTAAGTTGAAATGATATAAGCGGATTTCCTGACATATGAAGAGTCCTGTAATAGATCGCATGGATGCAAGGAACAATGGAGAATGCAACATCAAAACCACATTCTTCATTGCCTTGTTCTAGCCCATCGTCACTTAATTCTCTAATAAACGTGCGAGACATCCATATTTGAGATTTGATAATAACGATTATAATTCTCAACATTATTCAAGGCATACTTAGGATGAGAAAGAACACCGATAAATTCAACAACATCGGTTACTTTGAGAGAATCATCTTTTTCATAAAACTTTAGAAACAAATATTAATTAGGATACCCGAATTTTGTAATTTAAGATGAATGACACGTTACTTTTATTATAGCTGCCACGTGGTCTTCATTGGGAAATGGAAATTTGGATGCGACTTTTTTAAATCCATTCCCATTCTTACCACTGTCTAAATGCATATTCGCCGTCGATCTCACAATTTCTATTAAAATTGCAAATTTTTAGATTTGAGATCATCTGTTAAGGTTCGTTACTGTATTAGAAATTTAGCAAACCTTCAATGTCTGTTCCTATTTCACTGAACGACGGACATTCCTGTCTATAAACGTGAAGTTCAAGTCAAGGTGTAATTGTTTGAATAAAAGTAAATTGATAAATATTATTATTAATTTTTCAGGATATCTGTTTAGCCCAATATGTTTCTCCAGGAACAGATACGCAATAATATAAATATCTCTCATCAAATCGATTATATTGTGTATTCGGATCGAAGTCAAACATTACATCCTACATGAATGAGGAATGTAAGATATTTGATCAAGTAATATTGACAATTTACAAGAAGTGTTATTAATAAAATATGTCTTTAATAACCGTATCCATATCATCCGAGTATTTGTTAAATTTCCATTTCTACATTGCAAAATTAACCAGATGAATTTCTTACGTTTAATGCAATGACTATGAAAGGCAGTATGAATTACCTTGTTACCCTTATGGTCCGACGTTTCGTAAAAACTTACAAACATTTCATGCCCAAATCCCGTGTTCTGAATCATAGCTCGAAAACGTACGAGCGAATTGTGTGGAATGTCGTATATGGGAATATCATTTAAAGAAGGTATCTAGTGATATAGAATATTAATACGTTGACTTTGAAAAGTTACAATATTAAGTCAAACCTCAAGCACGCTTTCTTCTGTTGAGAAAATGGTTTGAAAATATGTTGGAATGTCAAATTCATTTTGCGTCGACGAATCAGAACGATATGATTGTTCTAAATATAAAAAAAAAATCTCGTTATAGATTTGCGAATTAAAAAATAAGATAAAAAGAAAATGTTACCAAGTTGATGCTTGATCACTTTAAGAGGCCTGGTAATACAGTCATAAGAAGTAAACGCTGAGTCCTTCATATCAGCAAAAGTGCAATTTGCTTATTAAGATTATTAAGAAATGTAAAACTAAAGACGCGTTTTAACATTTACGACTGCGTCATTACTTCACGTGGTTATTTATCTATCGTTACACGATATTTTATATCAAATGATTTTCTACGGTGGGGTGCTATTAACATAGTAATTTATTATAAAAAATCGATGCATTTTTAAACCGTTCTAACTTGTTTTCTAATGAAGCAAATTCAATTCTGAAACTTGTAAATGATATGTTTAGAGTATAGTTTTAAACCTACGTTGATAATCATATTATTATTTTATTAGATAAAGAAGTGTTTTAAGTATACTAGTATTTACAAATATATAAAACATATATAAGTATATTCAATTCTAATATTAGCTATCAAAATCTATTAGAAATATAATATTATAAAGGTCTGGTGACCTAGTATAGTGGTTAGGTTGTCAGACTGCTATGCAATAAGTCTGGGGTTCTAATCCTACTGTTGATGAATTTGAATAATTTTTTAAATTTTATGATATATTACAGTAAACCTTGTTCGTTTCTAGAAGCTATCTCTGTAAATTGAGTTATACCAAATCAATCAGAACTTGAAAGTGTAGCATAATATTATATGAATGAATCTTAATAGAATATATAAGTAGGAGATTTGCATAGTAGAAATCTTGAGTCGATGAAGTAGTACAGCTTTCTGACAAGACTACATCAGCTAAAATCTGATCTAAGAAGAAAATTCAGTCTAATAAAGGTAGAAGATTTTGAGGTTTCTGGACAAAGAGTAACTAAAACTAGCTAGATACTGAAAAAAGATTAGGTTACTTGACTAATAGAAGACTATAGTAGAACCTAAAGTTGTATGAATATCTATAAAGGTTTAAACTAGATGAATCTGTAAAATAAATATGAACTACTCTAGTAGGTTTGCTTCAAAATTAACTAGCTCTGCAATACTAGCAATATGTCTAGTATAATATATCTCAAAAGGACTGAAACTATTCTGAATAAATAGATCTGTAATGAGCTAGCTAGCTTAAGTAGTTAGGTGTTACAGTAACATTAGGTTGGATCTGTATAGAGTAATAAACAGAGTATTTAAATAAGTAATTTATAGACAGATTACAAATATAGCAGTATAGCAAAAAAACAATATACAGGTAGATTTTATAAGATAAAATTACCTATTGCTTGAGGCTCCAAATATATCATTTTGACCAAATTCGGAGATAAGAGAAAAACTAAGTTATCTCGAAAACTCTACTAAGAAACAGTATTTAGAGCATTAAACAAAAAGAAAGAGAACTGAAAAGTACACATATTACATTAGAAGAATAAAAGCAAGAAACAACTAGATAGACCATCTCATAACTAGAAACAGAAAACTTTGACGAAAAAACTTTTTTTCCATTATTTTTGGGGATTTGGAATTACTCTGAATCATAGATCAGTTATTGTAACACAAACACGTAGAAAACGGTATAAACAAACAAACGTGATTTGAGAACTAACAAGATGTATCACGTGCTAACCAATAGAAAGAAAGTATACATATCAGAAACTGGAAAAAACATAGGTAAACAGGAAAAAACCTAGGGAATTTGGTCAAAAAGACAAAGTCACTTCAAGAAAACAGATCAAAAATAGAAGAAATCTAACTTACAAAACAAG